CAGATTATTTTTTCATCTAAAATCATAAACGACATTATATAAATCACGCATATATATAGAACAATCAGGATAGTTGTGTTTAAGTAACAAATAGATTGAACCAGAGTCCATTCTGCCTTGAACTACATATTTTTCGATATCAGCCAACATAGCAGGTGTTAAGTTGTGAAACCGAGAAGCAATTTCTTTAATCAGAGGGATAAGCAGATGGTTATGATCAGGATTAAATGAATTGATTTTCATAACAGACATTGTCTTAGAAGATGTAATGTTCAATTTCCAGTGACATTCTATCCGTTGAGACATATTATTATGCCGCTTATTAGGATCAACTGTCACCTGTGGATTATATGAACTGCCTTTCGTACATATGTAAGTAGCCCTTTTGATCCTGTCTCCTTCTTTTTCACTGGTTCTAATCCTATAATTAAACCCTTTTTGTTGTGCAAACCGAATTAACCAAGTACTGAATGATTTCTAATTTAGAAATGAAAGTCCTGATTCTAATACTAACTTGTTATCAAATATCTCTTCATTTTGAGATTCAGCCACCTCATCTAAACTCTTCTTTTTATGTGATTTCTCCTTATGAGATTCCTTTTTTATCCACCTCATATAAATTTGTCATTTCATTATACACATCCCTCTGGTTATTTATTGGCATATTTAAGGGTAGGGTGAACGTAAATCAATTTTAATAGTAATCACATTACAAATCATATGATATTATATGATTTATATTGATTTGACCAATCAAAATTGTAAACAATAGAAATTTGACCAATAAGAATTGGCAATTTTTGTGTTACCTGAGTAAATTTCAATCTTCCTGAGTAAATTTAACGATATATAGAAGTAGATTTTTTTTAAATGATATAAGAACTAAAACTTTATTATCATAAAGAAAAGGTTTTAATCTATATATTATGAAGTTTTGGTAAAGTTTAGTTGCGGCTTTAAAAACTTTTACTAATAGCATATGCTTAATTTTTGCATAAAAAATTTTTAGTATATGAGATCATATGACAAATGATCTACATTCACCCTACCCTTAAAAGCTCAGTATAAGAATCAAAAGAATTTTGTGCAACATTACAATGAAAGTCTTGTAAGTGCTATGGGTTTTGAAAGTTACAGGAGTCTTAAAAATGCTTATCATAAAGATTGATATAGAAGTTGCGAAGTTTTTAAAAGTTTATAGGATTATTAAAATCATAAGGCTCTTGTAAGTAATTATCATCTGAAATATTGAAGTTACAAAAGTCTTGATAGTACTGAAACAGGGGGTCTTGAAAGTTATCATGAAAAGCTAATGAGTTGGTGATTTTGAAGGTTATCACAAAAGTCAAATTCAGAAAATTCATTTGTTTCAACATTATCAAAAGATATTGTGGTTAATTAAAACGCTGATTAAGATATGAAATGCAAGAAAGGTAAAGAAGAAAGTAAAAATTAGTAATATGAAAGTATAAATTCTAATTAATAAATCAATAGTTTAATCAACTAAAGTAACATATTATGTGATATGGATTTCAAACACTGTTTATCGATAATTTATATAAAATTTTTAAGACTGGTTTTTGTTACACGTGATACAGATTTCAAACACTAGTGTCAAATTAGTTAAATTCTTTTTAAAATTATTTTTAAAATATTTTTTATTAATTAATTTTTGACCAATCAGAACACAAAAAATTAAAAAAACATCAAATTTCAATATGAAATTTTTTAAAAATAGAACAAATTACGTAAATGTAGTCTTTAAGTATCTTGCACCATATCATTAAATGTGTTTTGATGAGCTCTACAACTTTTGTTATGAGCCCAAGAGTGATTTACTTAATAAGAAAAAAAGTTTTAGATTGATGCACTCCACATTTGGCTTAATAGTAAAATTTACTTATAAAAATTTGCAGATCTTCTTTGGTTGACTGGCAAATCACCAATTAAAACAACATGAGGTTATGTATTGTTATAATTATAGTAGTGATACAAGATAGAAGACATTAAAAAGTTTAAATAGATAACCTTCTAGTTAGATTAGATTATAAATATAATATATAGTATAAAATTTTTGAGCAGATTAATAAGCAACCAATAGTTGAATATATAACTAAATATACTCTTATTAACCAAAAATATATTACTAAAATACCTAATAAAAATTTATGTTTACATAATATTGTGAAGGTTAAAAAAAGAAAAAATATAATGACACAATATGTATATGACTTATTTACATTATTGATACATCAAATAATTAACATAAATATATAAATCTTCTTAAAACTTTGAACAAATATATCTTGACAACCATCAAAGCAAATTCAATAAATTTTTTTTATTTTGAATTTAAAGACTTGTAGAGTTAAAATAACAAAAAGTTCATCAATATTTCAGTTGTCAAAATATCTTTGTTTAAAGTTTAGTAAATAATTAAAACATCTATTAAATAAAGATAACAATTTTTGACTTTGAATGAGGATATCTTAATAATTATTAAAGCAAATTCAATAAAATTTTTTTTTTTTTAATTTTACAGAATTGTAGAATTAAATAAAAAATAAATTATTAATTTGTTTAGATATTTGTCAAGATATCTTTATTCAAGGTTTGGTAAAAACTAAAATATCTATTAAATAAAAACAAAAAAAATTTAGAAACTAACTCTAGCTACTCAAGAAAATTCAATAGACTTTTTTTTGAGATATTTCATTCAAAGTTTCTAAAAAAAATTTCATTGCTTCTATTTAATAGATATTTTAGTTTTTACTAAACTTTGAACAAAAATATTTTGACAATCACCTAAGCAACATAAAACATTTTTTTTATTTTAACTCTACAAGTAGATAGAATTAAAAAAAACCTATGTTTATCAAATTTGCTTTGATTGTTGAGATATCATTGTTCAAAGTCAAAATTTTTATCTATATTTAATAGACATTTTACCAAACTTTGAATAAAGTTATCTCAACAACATCAAAACAAATTTAATGAACTTTTTGTTATTTTAATTCTACAATTCTTTAAATTCAAAATAAAAAATTCATCGAATTTAATTTGATGGTTGTCAAGATATCTTCATTCAAAGTTTTAAAAAGATTTTGTGTTGATCATTTGTTGTGCTGATAATGTAGATAAGTTACGTGCATGCTGTGTTGTTATATTTCCTCTAAGGTGTCCAGAATTATTAATGTGATGGAATAAATTATGTGTGTGATTGAGGTCAAATTATACAATGAATGCGAATTATACGATTTCTTATTTAAATTTTGTCAATTATGTGAAATCTTTGGAATATTCTGGACTTCTGCACCAGAAGTTATTGGAACACTCACCACTTCCACCAATCACATACCACTCACATGCATTATGCCTTTTTTCTTAATTATGTGAAGCATATGCGATGCGAAAAATAGCCAATTATGCGCATAATTTCGCATCGCATAATCCTGGACCCCCTAATTTCCCCTAAAAAAAATTGATTATTTGCAGAGACCGCAGTTCATGATCGTCATCGTAATGGGTCGACAGGTCGGGATGATTGATGAAATCACGTGACCCGCAATTTTCGTAGTCGCTCTGGTGGATTACGGCATTAATACAACCCAACTATATTACAGCCAGTGTTGTCAGCAATAGATGAATAGAGCAATAGAGCAATAGAATAAAACAATAGAATTTAAAATAGAATAAAATTTTTATTAATAGAACAAAAAATTGACAACTAGATTATAATTAATATTAATATAGCAAAAAACAAATAGAATAATAGAACAATAGAATAGAACAATAAAAGTTAGAATAGAATACAATTTTTATCAATAGAACAAAAAATTGACAACACTGATTACAGCGTATAGCAAAACTATCATCCGGGCAGTTTTACTTAGTAAAATTTTGTGTGATTTTAGGAGAAATTTATCAATTCCGGCCTATTCCGACCCTAATTTTTGATCGATCTGCTGAATTTTGGTTGCACACTAATCTATCCGCGACTTTAGAAGACAACCTAAGGATGGACTGGTGGAAGTAAGTTATTGATGTTCGTACCAACTTAAAGCCGCACTTATGATGCAATTGAGTAGATCCCTCTGATAGATTAGGCCACACAAAGTTGATTTTTCGTTTTACGTTACCCGACCGACTCATTTTTTCAATTTTCAATTGCTTTCCTGTAATTATTCGACAGACCGACAGAAAAAAACGACTGCCAACTCAACATTACGGCTAATTTTGATTGTGATCTAAATAGCAGAACCGATTACTTATAATTCTGGTCAAATTTGCAGATCGTTTGGCTTCAGAGTTTTTGATCCCTAATTTGGCCAAATGATCTGCAATTTGACCAGAATTATAAGCAATCGGTCTGCTATTTAGAACACAATCAAAATTAGCCGTAATGATTTTCTGATTCCTTGTTTTAAACTTCAAATTAAAATATTTCGGATCTAGTTAAGGACGGCAAAAGTTTTTTTATTACGTAATTAAGAACAGGTGATAATTATAAAAATGGTTAAAAAAGTTTTTCACCGTCCCTGGATCTAGTGATTAGAATCAAATGATTTTGATATCATTCGATTCAGCTCAATGAGACAAGTCAATTGATACCAAAATCATTTAATCAATTCGCCAAATTACTACAATAACATTACATAGTTTTACTACCCTTTTTAAATTTTACACGAAATAGCAACTGGTTATATAGACAGATACGGTTTGTAATATGGCTACAGGAAGAAATTTATTATACACAAATGTTACAACACATAAAAATTTGTTACTCATTTGAGGTTCTATAAATAGAAAACTCATTTTTTCTTCTAACAGCATCATCGAGACGTTTGGAATTAATTTTATTCTCCTTTATGAACTTCCTTCGAACTTGAGAAACAGTCCTATCAGTCAAGTCTGCAATTTTGGAATAATTATATCCCCATTTCGCCACTAACTATGTAAAAAAATATTTATTAATCTTAATCGAATGAATCTAATAATGGTCATTCAAAAGATTTTTGGTCTTTGTTACTAACCTTATAAAATTTTTCTGTATCTTTTCCGAACCACGCCTTCTTGTCGTACGGATTTTTAACACGGTGAGTGTTGGCTTGATCAGTATCTATTGATTCTTCTACAACCTCCATCTCATGATATACTGCAGCTGCTTCAGGTGCGAGGATTTTAAGACGTTCAAAGAAATCCATATCAGGAGTGACCGCTAATTGAGTTTTTTTACTATAAAATGAAAAAATTAGAAACGATTCAACAATTCGACGTAGTCGAAATTCTATATAAAAAAATGTTTAAACAATACCTTCTCTTTCTTAACAGGATGGTTTCGTGTTCTGCGTCATTTATTTGTTCAATTGATTCGACGTTGTCGTCATAGCTATTTGGAATCACTGTATGATTTGTGTCGCATATTAATTTTTTGCGTTTATTTGGTGGTTCATCATCTCTGGAGCTTCTGTCAAAATGTTCATCATAATAATCATTCTCTTCTTGAATTTCTTGCAAAGAATTACTATAGGGTTTATCCCTAAAATCGGTGTGGTCTGAAAAATCATCCACGCGTATATCATTATTTTTTTGTATTATTGAAACGTTATTCGTAAACCCGTTTTCATCCACTTCAATAGGACGACCGAAGTCGCTAGTGTCATTAGGATATTCTTCATCTAATTCAATAGGATGACCAAAATCATTTATGTCGTTAGGATATTCTTTATCTAATTCGATTGGATGGTCGAAATCATTTGTGTCATTAGGATACTTTTCGTTTGGTTCAGTAAAGCATTCATCGTCGTTCCCGTCGATAGAGTCCTCATCACTATCATTTTGTCTGTCTTTATCAAACCACCTTCTAATAAATACCCTTTTAAAATTTGGCACAGTTTTGTCTGTAGTTTTATCTGTATTGTCAAATGTCTGCAGTGTGGTAATCCTTTTCTTTACTAAGTTACCCGTATTTCGACGAATAGAAGAGCGTATAACACTACCAGTTGAATGATTATACAACTTGATATATTCTTCCCAGGTAGGTGCAGACTTTGGATTAGATGAGCTATGCCATCGTTCTTTATCCAATCGTGCAGCACAAGCTCGAAGAAGTACCGTAGCACCGGGAATTGGCTCAGGTGGAGGAATTGGCTTTAAAGGTTTTGGAAGTGGAGATATATATAATGGCTTTGGTACATTAGCCTCAACTTCTTCGTATGTTGGTACGGTAATGACGGTGGGTTTACGGCTAGTTTGGCTAGGGATATCAGAAGATTTGCTCCACCTATTTTTTGGAACTAAAAGATGTAACGATCACCATAAAAATTCTACTTGAGAAGCGAAATCAGGAAATACCTGTTGTGGTACGTGAAGACTTTGATAACTTCATTAAGTTACAAAGAAAGAATTTGTTATATCGATATCAGATACGTATATCGCGGGATGTTGAATGAATTTGCCTGATTGATCTCAGTCATGTGGGAAATTGAAGTTACTCAAAATTTTATATTGTTACTCAAATTTTAAATTAAGGTTACTCAAATCATGTAAGATAACGATAACGATAACCTTAATTTTCTAAGTAAAAATTATAGAGCTTATTGTTATGTTCGTACGTACGTACGTATTCGTTCGTTATTCGAATAAAACCTTATGAATAATAAATAATTGTTACCGATTATTCGTTATGTGAAACTTCAGTTAGAATCATTGACTATTGACTATACGTTGTTACGGGGGGTAAAATTATATATATATAATATGAGGCTTATCAGTTGAAGATCATGTAAAATTTTTCGGTGGAAACACAAGTGAGTCACAGTGCATAGAAGGCTTAGCATAATCGCGGACTAAGCCTCTCTCTATAAATTATTTAAAGGATGTAACTTGGGCGAAGGTTGGTTACGACACACATAAGAATTCTATATCTGATATGGCATAATTTTTCACTCTAGATGTGGGCCGAATAACCAATAGTCACGCCTCTGGCGAGATAAAGTATAATGTAGTAGCTGTAAGTTACGACCTAAGAATTGAGTTTTCATAGTCAGAGCTTACCGATTTCTTATTCGAATAATATTCAGCAGTTTATTCGAAAACGAATGTTATTCGAATAACGAATCCATAGGTAGGGTTGTTAAATTACCGTAATTTTACGTAATTTTGCGTAATTTTATGTAGGTTTTGGTAAAACGGTTTCCATGTA